ACGCTTTTATCACAATAATACTAGTATTTTTTGTTCATAATTATTTTAAAAATTATTTTTAACTTTTTAGTACGATGTGCTTTAAAAGCGTGTTTTTTAGTTTTTTTAAACTATATTTTTATATTTTTTAGTTTTATAAAGTTATATAATTAATTTACAATCAAATAATTATTATTTGATTCTAACAATTTACCCAATGAATGATAAAATGTTAGTCATTCAGTTTTTCTCAAAATAATCTTATTGCTCAATATATTTTTTTCTTTTTGATATTCATTGTTTATTATGTTTATTATATAAGTTATTATGTGATTTTTTTTCCGTTCCATAAGTTTTTGTAAGATATTAACTTTATCTTTTGGAAGCAACATAAACATTTTTAAAAAGTAAGTGATAGGATTTCTATTGTTCCCATAGGAACAATATAATTTATCAACAATAACAGAATCAAAACAAATGTTGAGTCTTAATATTGAACACTTATTACTTATAAATCACATATGATGGAATAAAATTTTACTTGAGCCACGTTAGCGTCTATAATAATTAAATATTAGATTTAAGCAAAATTTGTTTATTTTTAGTGTATTTGTTATTTAAAAAACATTAAAAATATTTTTATTCTTAAATAATGAATACTTATACATTATTAATTAATAATACTTAATTAATTTAAAACAAATTTACTCTGCAAAAAAATATTTAAAACACATCTTAGTAAAGCCAATACTTTCGCAGATTCGCATCGAAGCTAAAATTTTGAAATCGTATATGATAGATCGACTTACGTTGATTTTTCAGTATTGAAATTTTCCAAAACTATCATATACGATTTCCACTATAATTTTATGAAAAAAATGTATGGAAATAAGTGTAAGTTGTTGTACACGGATACTGACTCTCTATTTTACGAAATACAAACAGTAGATGTGTACGATGATGTCAAAAAAAATATAGAAAAATTCGATGCGTCAAACTATGAGCCCAACAACGTGTATGGTATACCGCTTGTTAACAAAAAAGTTATAGGACTCATAAAGATGAAATGGGAAGTAAAATTTTAAACAAATATATTGGAATATGCAGTAAAACATACATGATGCGGTGTGGTAAAGATGTGGGGAAAAAAATAAGGGATTAAAAAAAGGGTATTAAATGAAACTGTGCAATGCCAGCAATATTTTCTTTAGTATCGGCAATTTGCGATTTTGTAACCATTTAGTTTGTTTAATAAATACAATTGAGCATACGTATTTTGGCCTTGCCTTAGCGGAAGGAAAGGACAATATAAAAATGTGGAAATTGAGCCTTACAATATACTAGATAGAAAGAAAAACAACATATATATAATAATCACAATATGATATTTTCCGTTACGATAAAAAAATAACAAGAACCAATGATAAATGAAATTAGCACAAATTACTAATGAAATAAATAACATATATCCCCTTTTTTATAACTAATACATACAGAGTGGCCCATCACTCACTGACAACTTAAATAACTTTTGATCCAGTTAATATTTTTAGTTGATTTTTTTTTTAAATAATAGTTATACGTTAGGTCTATAGCTATATCTCAATAATTAATTTTTTTACATTTTATTAAAAATATTAATTATTTTTAAATTTTAAATAAAATGTAAAAAAAAAATCTAAGATAGCTATTTTGTAGAGTAGAATTTAAGAAAAATTTTAGTAAAAAAATATCTTATTAATATTCAGTAGTAAATATTCTGTAGCGTTTTGAAGTTTGTGAAAATTTGAATTTTCATGTACTATTTTACGGTATTAAACATTGAAATACGTATTGAGAAAAGGACAGAAGAAAACGCTATCTTTTCAATATACTTTTGAATGAGAGTGATAAGTAATAATTGCCTTATCTAATTTCTTATCATGGTATTTATGCCAAGTTTGTAATGTATACACACTATCATCATATGTATACACAGTAATCATGAAAAGATAGCGTTTTCTTCTGTCCTTTTCTCAATACGTATTTCAATGTTTAATACCGTAAAATAGTACATGAAAATTCAAATTTTCACAAACTTCAAAACGCTACAGAATATTTACTACTGAATATTAATAAGATATTTTTTTACTAAAATTTTTCTTAAATTCTACTCTACAAAATAGCTATCTTAGATTTTTTTTTTACATTTTATTTAAAATTTAAAAATAATTAATATTTTTAATAAAATGTAAAAAAATTAATTATTGAGATATAGCTATAGACCTAACGTATAACTATTATTTAAAAAAAAAATCAGCTAAAAATATTAACTGGATCAAAAGTTATTTAAGTTGTCAGTGAGTGGTGGGCCACCCTGTATATTATGTGGACTGTAAATCCGTTAAATAAACAATAAAAAATTCTTAGTAATTACCCACTGCCGTTTGAAGGTGATGAACACTGTAACACTTCAGATGCAGGGAAGGCAACAAAAAAAACACCGTAACATAAAGCAAGCCGTTGAGCAACTCAAATTGAACAATGTGGCGACAAGGCAATACTCGACCCAAAAAACCTGGCGTCGATATAACCGAAACGGACGACTAATTGAGCGAGAATGAATTAGTTTTCAAAGCCATACGTTGCAGGGACCGGTCTAAACAGCAGCGCCGCCGTACCGTTACGAAGGTGGTGGTTTTTTAGTGGGAAAAAACACATTGAAGGTCGCGGCGTATATTAAAAAAAACTCGAAATCTCCGGTCTACTAGACGGCTACAGAAAAATGAAAATAAATTGCGTTGAGTCAGCGTCATACCTATGGTGACAAACACAAACGTGTATGATGTGATCGACTGACCTGCTCTCCCTCACTTCCCGTGTTTTCATATTAAATTAAATATATCGCGTCACCTCACATTAATGTGTAACTAACAATAAGTGAAAATGACTATTTTTATTGTATAAGTTTTCACGATCTTAAAATTTTACGTAGCATGTATGTTTTTCGTTCATACAAACATAAATTATTCACCATAAACATAAATAAAATTGCATTAGAATTTAAGGATGACAAGCAGTATCAAATAACAAACAGTCACAATACGCTACCCTGTGGCCATAAAGATATTCCTCCCAACCAAATCTCCTTGCACTTCCCTCTAATGGGCACCTACGCATACGCTACAAGTATATGAGTTCAGTGTGATGAGAGAGAGAGAAAATTGCCGAGACCACTGAAAAGAGACGTTACGTCAACAGCCAATCTGACTCACCGCAAAAAAAAATTTCACATTAATACAATGAAAAATTCAAATATTAACAGACTTGTTTGCTCGTAGAATTATCTGTAGGGTGGTCTTAATTTTTTCATTTAGAAAATCTTTGGCTTTACATTATTAATTAAAAATATTTTGAATTCTATTGCATAAGATTTAGTAATTTAACTACCTATAGACAATTAAACAATAAAATAAAATCATTAAAAATATTTCCGAACAGTAAAATTGAATCAAAATACATTTCAGGTGGATCATACGATTTTCACTTATTCGGGTTGAAAATTGAACAAAAATGGTAATTTATTGGTTATTTACATAATATTCGTCAAAGAGCAGTATCAGAAAAAATATTGAATGTAAATAGTAGTTATAAATGTTTTTTTATTAATTGAGTATTAACATTTTTCTTTAATATCACAAATTTGTTTTATATGTTTATTATTACTACAATTATCACTTTATAATAAAAGAAAATGTATAGTTATTATCATTAGAATTTTGAATTAAAAATAAATCATAAAAATATTTCCGTGATTTATTATTCTGTAGAAATATTCATTGTTGTCCTTTTAAATAAATCAAAGGAATCATATTAATCATCATGACTCGATGATTCTCCATATGTATTACATAAAAACATTTTTAGAGCTCTATATTTTTTATTTTTTTTGGCTTCTTCAGTCTTTCTGGCTTTTTCTATGTTTTCCATTTCTCTTTTGTGAAATTCTTCTAAAATTTAATACTTAAATTAGAAAATAATTTTAAAATGCAAAATTTAATAAAAAAAAAATCTCCATTTACGCAAATAAACCTAGATCACATACAGAGGACTAGTAGTATATTACTAAGAACTCTAACTGTGAGGCATACAACGCCTTTACAAATAGTACACATTCAAGAACTATGGATAAATTGTAATCAGATTAAGGTAAACAAGCAGATAAACCAAAAACCTGCATTTTGGTTAACGAAAAAGTTAGAAGAATTGGTTTTTTATGACATCGCTGTCACATTCAAGGAGTGTTTTTTATAAATTATGTCTATCAAAAGATATACTTTTTATATTGCCAGTTTATATATTTATAAACTCATAACAATATGCCTTATTACCATTAATAATAAATTCTAAGTACCAGCGAATATCGATGTTATAAAAAAACCAATTAGCTATTTGTATTTGTACACACTTTGTGTATTATACATGTATATTAACTCAAAAATTAAAAAAATTAAATGTCTATATCTCATAAACAAAAAAAAAAATGTATAAATATTTATTACAGCAATTAAATATAGTATGAAATTGATATTTAATAATTTCGTATTGTAATTTTTACGGAGAAATTATAAAAAATTATAAATGAGTATATTTTATTATTTCTATGACAAACATATTAAAATAAAATAAAATAAAAATTAAAAGTCTTGGTACAATACTTAAAAAAAAAAATTGTCTATTATTTATAATTAAATTTATTAGTTTACAAGTAATTTTCATACAAGACCAAAATATACTTTTCTAAACACATTATTAAGCCGATTTCAATTCTGCTATTAGCGTTTTACATATGGTCTAAATAATAAAAAAAATTTACTAAAAATTAATATAAGACATATACATGTTTGATTATTAGATTACGTATGTATAATCAATAAATATATTTTAATTGAAAATAAACTGAATAAGTTCTTTTAATTTTTAAAAATTTTTAGGTTTTTCCAGCTCGGTATAAAGGATAATAATCCAATTAAAAAACAGTATGTCTAATGAGAGAACTATATAAATAGCACTTATTATAAAATAATTGTTTAAAATAAACAATAATAAAATTCATACATTTTTCAAAAAGTTATAGCATTATAAAGTTAAAAATATGAAAAAAAAAATTATTTACAATTATCGTATGTTTTATTACTAATTTTGATGTCTGTTTTCACCATGAAAACAAAATAATGTCTGAAATTGTTTTTTTTTCATAATAAAGTACATTACATTAGCTTTAATTTAAGATATATATAAAAGTGTCAGTATTTCCGATACACTTTCAAAATTAAGTTGAAAAAGGTAATTTTTTGTGTAAAAGTTGTCATTTTATATCCCCCCTGTGGCCAGATAAAGGATAAAATTTATAAAAAAAATATACAAGATAATAGTTAATTATCTCATGTATCATTTAAAAAAATGATATTGATTTGTTCATTTTTAAGAAAGTTATGGCAGTTTTAAGTAAAAAAAAAATGACAAAAATGAGAGATTTTTAAACTTGTAATTTTTTTGTAGGTTTCCCCAATTTACGGTGAACAATGGAAATTTTTTCAATTTTTGAGGGTAATGTCTTCAACTACATACAATTTGTGATATTTTGACGTATCGTTGAAAGAAATCGGTTCGACGAGAACTGTGAAAAAATGGTAACAGACACAAAAAAAAAAAATAAATAAATAAAAACACACAGTAATACATATATTACACAGTAATAGCATCGAAGCTAAAAAATTTCGGACTTTATTTTGACTTCATGGTAAAATGGCTACCGTATGCTAATTTTGTCTTGAAATTCTCAATTTTATGTTATAACTTTAAATTTTTTATAGTAGTTTTTGAAAAATGTATGGATCAATACAATTTTTTTATGAAAGATAGTGTTTATATACTTAATTTATGCAACATAACTTTTTCTAAATAGGAGCATATCCCTTTATACAGTGAGGGTTCAAATTTTAAATATACGTATAGAAAGTAGAACTTTTCAACTTAATTTTCAAAATGTTCCAGAAATACTGACACTTTTCTATAATCTTTAATTAAAGATTATGTATTATACTTAAGTATGAAAAAAAAAAAATTAGAACTTTACGTTGTCTTCATGGGGAAAATAGCTACCGTATATATGTTATTTTTGTGTTAAAATTCTTGGTTTTGTATTTTATTTTACTCTAAAATATCTTACAATGGGGAGTACTCTGATTTTCATAAATATTATATAAATCTAATTGACACAGCAAAAAAGTTAATCATATTTTAATTTTTTTATACTTTTGATGTCGAGAAAAATAACTTTAAAATTCAACCTTGCTAATTTATCATTTTTTTTAAGTGACTAATTCAGCGTACGGATGCTGAGACGGTAACACTTATGTCTTTCACGCCTGGTGTACAAGATTCGAACCACCCGCCTGTGATACTGATTTTTTTCGATTTTTTTTTTTTTTGAAATATCAATAAATATTTTAATAAACTTGAAGAAAATAACGTATTTGTTTTTATTGATTTGTATTATTAATTCTATGGTATATATGAAGCAATGATATTCGACAAACATAAGTTGCATGAGTTAAGTAATTAAAAATATATATCTGTAATTTTGTTCAATAATAAGTTGATCGATTCTACAATAAAGTTTTTTATTAATACTAAATTGTATAACAAATACACACATAAAAAATAAACAATAAAGAATCGATAATTTAAAACTTATTACTGTATACTCTTTAAATTATATAAAATAAAAATAATTATTAATTATTAAAAATGTTACCATAGGTTTTACACATTAAATCTATATGATTATATAAATTACAACAGTGATAACAGTGTCCCTATAAACAGTGCCGCCACTGTTATATATCGATAAAATTATATGATATAATGATCAATAAAATAATTAAATTTTATTTTATGGTTTACTTACTTTAACATTATTTAGTAAAATAATTATTTTCATTGTTTAAAATAAAAATTATCGAAAAATGAACAAAAAAATTATTTTTAATTGATAACTTATTTCTTTAAAATTCATTATGATTAAAAATTGATAAGGTATTCATAATGTTAAATTTATTAATTTCAAGTGATTTTCTCTATTTAAATAAGTTGAGAATTATTTTATTTAATTTATTAAATATTCAATAATTATTTATATTGATATACTGAATTTAATACATTATGTTTGTTAAGTATTTTTTTAATACAAATTTATTTATTAATTATTCATACGTATCCTAATAATCAAACACAAATATTTGCTATATTAATTAGAAGGACATTGTTATTATTTAAGCCATATGCGAATCTCTAATTACAGATTTGAAATCGGTGCAAAAATGTGTTTAGAAAATTATATTTTGGTTTTAGACGAAAATTCCTTGTAGACCAGTAAATTTATTTATATAAACAACTTTTTGTCACCTCTCGCTATTATTCAATAAAGAACAATTTCATCCATTTAATATAACCAAAATAAAATGTAGAAGTCTTGTAACAAAAAAATAACTTATTTCTTCATAATATAAAGTAATTTGAAAATATTTGATTATCATTATGAGATATAACTAATATAAATTTGTTTCATATTAATATCGTTATCTGATTTGGTTAGTAATAGTCTAATTTTTACAACAATGGTAATTTAACGGTGTAAAAATGGTGATAACATTTAAATATTAAATTTAATTTTTGTACATAACTTTTATTTTTCGATATCGATATTTTTTCATACGATAATAATAAATTGTGATTTACTATCGATGAAATCCAGTAAGATATCTATATCCAAAATTATAACGTAGACAACCCTACTAAATATAGATATAATATGAAATTTATAGTCAACAATTTTATGACTGAAAAAATGTAATTTAGTTTATATTTAGTTAGATTATTGATTTATGTATTACTCTTTACAACATATTTTTATTTTAAAAAATTAATAAATTAATATAATTATTCATTAGATATAGATATTCACGAATTTATTATTTAAGTCCAACTTATATTAAATATGGGATGGTACGTTAGGCTTTACTTTAATGACTAAACTTAGCTTAACACGTAGTTTTTAAGTCCAAGCTGTACCTTCACCTATACTTTAGGAGGTCATTTAACGTGTGCCATTTTTCACAACTTGTGCATCAACACGCCCCATTTTTTAAACATTTTTATTCTACATTTTAAAATTAAATAATTTATAATTTCAATTTAAACTATATTTTCAGAAATAGAACTTTTAATTAGGAGTTAATATGTTTTTCAAAAATATACTCAAAGTATACTTTTTACTATGAGATTATATGTATTATGATAAATAATTGCAATTTCATTTAAAAAAAACACAAATTTTTCAAGTCAAGAGCTCCCTAAAAATATTATAAATAAATTGTCATTATTATATTAAGTCTAACAACAATTCTTCGGTACATCATATAAGTCAACTTGTCTGTTCGAATAACCTAAAAATAACTGAATTATTAAGTGAACAATTGCTTATTTGTATTTTTATTAAAAAAAAAAAAAAATTTTTTTGATTTTACTTTAAAATTTGAATATAATAGAAAAAAAACATACTTATAGATATACATTCATCAACTATCGCTCCACATAAAAAACAGTCCTTAGAATTGCTTCGTAAATAGAGTGAACACAAAGTTCCAATGTGATGATTACAAGGCATCAATAAATGACTGACATGTTCAGATTTACACAAACATATTTCATCTTCACCTGCTTTTTAAAAATATTAAATAATTACTTTGTAAGAAGGTTTTAGGAGTCAACCTCTTTTACTAATAAAATTTCACTCAAAAATATCAAAATATTTGTTTTAATTATTTATATTTAAAAAGTAATTTAAAAATAAATGAACCGCCGGTGAAAAATTACATATAATGATTCCTTCCAAAAATGTTGCTGAAACTGCGCATATGGCTTTTGTAATAAGACTTAAATGAATAATTTTATTCATAACGACGAATCAATAAAAATTTCAGACTTTAATTTGTTTTCGAAGTGAAAACTAATATCAAATTTAATAAAACCCTCCTGTGCTGGATTTTTAGTTTTGGTTTATTATATATTTACAAAAATGTCCTTCACTCGCCCTTATTAGTTTCTAAACAGTACTGTGTCATAATTATGACTTCAAGAAAAATACTTTCTATGTTATTTATTATAAATTCAACTATATTTTTAAAAATTCGGGGTCTGGGAAAACGTTTCTACAGGCCTATATTAGAAAAATGATAATGTGTAATAAACGAACATTGTACAAATTTTAATTTTTAGCCCACAATTTCATACAAATAGAATACTAATTATTAGTATAAAAATTGTGCAAAATTATATTCAACAATTTTTAATTAGTTTTATTGTATCTTCTAAAACAGACATGTGCCATTTTCGGTCTTTTAATTACGAGAAAAAATTAGCAAGTGCTTATTAACGCAAAGCTTTAGACGATATTTGTTAAAGATCTAAAAAAATCATTTTAAAGAAAATTCAATAATTGAATAATGATTTTTCAATAACGAATATATTTGTCAAAAGATTCATTGTATTAATTGACAATTTTTAAAAAATAATATAACACTTTTCGTTGTTGAAAACTTTTAAAATTATTTCTGATAGTGTGGTTTATTAAATGTTACAATTCACTTTAACGTTGCACTAAGTATAAAGATAAATTTGTTTACGAGTTAAAAATTATTTATAAAACATGTATGCACTTACTTGAAGAAATTTTAGGTTCGTCTAAAAAAAATATTTTTAAGATTATTAATGAAAAAGTATTAAAAGTTTTATAATTACATTATAATTATTGTTCATAGTCTAATTTATAATATCACTCAAGACCAGCATAATGACAACATAAATATTTAAATGTTTATAAAATAGAAATTGATGTATTTAAGAAAATGATTTGTCGATGATACGATCACATATACGTGATCATATCTCTTGTAATATTTCAATAATCTACATTTCTTTGCCTAAGTAAAATTATAATAATTTTTCACCGGTTAACCGTATGCTAATGAATTTCAATTCAGTTTGCAACATATTAGATTTCTTTCATGATTTTTTAGCCAAGGTGATATCTTCTTTAAAAAATATAGTTAATTAATATATATATATATATTACTTCTACACATATCAACGGTTTCTACTGTACTGGATGTACATACAACTATTTTATAGCAGATAAATGGAGTTATATATGTAACTAACAGAACCCCCCAAAAATATTATTTTAAGTGAAATGGAGTATCTAGCGTTAAAAAAGTGACTCTTTGTAGGTCAACCTATCTTAACCTATATATCTTAGCCACATTAATCTCATGGCTACTATACAGAGTAATTTCGGAGGTTAATGACATATTTAAATCTATGTTAGAGCCTGAAAATTAAATTTGACAACCTTATAATGTACAGAAGATAAACATAAAAAAACCTTATGACTGAAAAATTGAGAAAATCATTTAACTAAAAGAAATAAATAAAGAAACTATTAATACTATTTCTATTTTTCGATCAATTAAGTGTTTCATGATAAGTGAATCACTCTGTATAATGGTAAAATAAATAAATAAAATATTTTCGTTTGAATAATAAAATATATATCATTTTAATTTATCAATACTGGCAAATAATATTAAATTATATGTATATAAAAGGATGAATGCAGTGCTCAGTGTTACTCATGCGGGTTCGTTAACGTCCATTGTTTTGTTTTGTCTTAAAAAAATAATAAATTACTAATGTGAATAAATCTTAAAATGAAGACAAACAGGCATTATTTATTTATTTATGTATAATATACGGGTGTTAACCCTTTAACAATTAGAATATTTATAAGTACAGTAAAAATCAATAATAACATAAACAGTTACAAAAAAACTTATCACATTCAGCCGCAATTACAGCAGCAATTTATACTTGTCGGCTAATTGTAACGCTGATGATAATGTTTAATATTAAATGGAACAATTGAAATCAAATACAATTAAATGACCAACGTGTACAATAGGGTGGTCCTTATCTACATAGGTCAATTTTTTTTTTATTAAATTCAATCAGGACGCCCCCTAGAATTGTTCTATAGGTTAAAAAAATACATTTTGTGAAGTTTCGTGATTGTCCAATGATTTTTTCCCGTGCCGCAGAAGGGTTGAAATTTAATAAATTGGGGTAAAAATTAGTTTTTTACGTATAACTTGTTAAATTTTACTTGAATCAAAAAAATTTACTGAATAAAATTTGTTTAAAAATGTATTTCCTATAAAATATGTTATATTATTTTTTACTCTATATTGCATATTTAATTGAATAATCAATAAAACACATAAATACGCCGATTTTTACCGATTCTAATTTTTTGCGTAATTCAGTCTTTATTAGCATAATCGACAAATTTTTACAAAATCTATATAAATTATAAAATTTAGATGTAAAAATTATGCACAAATATTGTTTAGTAAAATATTTTCTAATTCTAAATCTAAGTCTTTCCTACGAATATGTACATTGTACAGCGTAAAAGTGGTTTAAAAATCAATCACTAACATTATGATTTTAATCTAGTTTGGGAATTTTTTTACATCAAGCTGTTTGTATAAATGTGGACTTTGTTCTGTCATCTTATACTGAACTAAAGCATATGTTGAAATCGTTTCGTTTATTACGATAACACTATTTTACTGTTATTGAGATATCTCTTATACAATTTTATTAAAATTGCTATTTCTAGTTTTAGTTCTAAATCTGTTAGAGTTTTTTTATTGTGTAATTCTTTTAATAATGGACACTAGATCAAGGGACAAAATTTACTTAATTAATTATGATGAAAATCAAATTGTCGGATCAAAGTTGCCATCAAATATTCAAGTATTAAGGGTACTTTTTTACAATATGAGGAAAGTAAAATTAAACTTACGAACCAGTGCTCATTTGGTTATTAAAGAAGTTGAAGTATTCTGGGAGAAAGGAAGAATACCAGTCAGAAAATTTCAAAGGAGCATCGACAAATTGGAGTCACTGTATTCAGAATGGAGAAATTTGAACAAAAGCTCTAAAAGGACATCGTTGAACCACGAAAATAAGGAAAAGGATTTCATTGGAAAATTTAACGAATTGTTCGATATTTCACATGCAAATGCCATGGAAATGATGACTATTGAAGAAGATAAATTATTTTTGATCTGTCAACGAGATAAGGAAAGAAAAGGTTGCATGGCTAGTTCAGATTATAACTTATATTTACAGGAAAAACATGAACTAACACAAAAAATTTTGAAAGAACAAAGAGATTTGAAACTTCAAAAATCTCAATTTATGTCCAGTAAGTATTTTATTATTAATATTTCATTTGTTCATAAATTAAATAACAGCAAGTTTTTTTTTTAGATGAGGTAGCTATTTTAGACAGTAGTACAAGTAGTATAAGTAGTAATGAAGAAGCCAACATGTCTTGTGATGTTTCCGAATCTAATTTCAATGATGAAAATGAACCTGGACCATCCTGTTCAAAAAGAAAAAGAGGCAAACGACAGTTTATTACATCAAAACTTGTTGCCGCTTTTGACAAATGTAAGGTAAGTGATAGAGATGCCGTACACTTGTTAATAGCAACTATAGAGGCTCTAAATTTAGATCCTAGTGAGTTGGTTATTAACCGAACTTCTATTCACCGTTGTCGTGAACTTCTAAGGACCGAACACGCACAAAAAATTTTTGAGAAGTTTCATGAAAAAAATATTAGATCAGTTACTGTTCATTTCGATGGCAAATTATTGCCATCACTAACTAGTAATGTAAAAATTGATAGGCTACCTGTACTTATAAGTTTCAATGGTAATGAGCAACTTCTTGGCGTTCCTTTTATTAAATCAAGTACAGGAAGAGAACAAGCTTCAGCAATTCATAGTTTATTAGTAGAATGGGATATTGAAAATAAAGTTCAGGCTATTTGTTGCGACACAACAGCCTCTAATATGGGGAGATTACAAGGTGCTTGTATTATTTTAGAGCAATACCTCGAAAGGGACCTTTTATACTTACCATGTAGGCACCACATATTTGAAATAGTTTTAAGAAGTGTATTTGATCAAAAAATTACTTTATTTAGTGGACCAAATATACCACTGTTTAAAAAATTTCAAAAAAGTTGGCCACAGATTAAAAACTGTACAATAAATCCAGGTTTAGAAGATATTACGGTTAAAACACAATTAAACGGTTTAGAAAATGAATTAATTTCGTTTCTAACGGAAAAAATAAAAATTAGTCAACCAAGAGAAGACTATAGAGAACTTCTTAATTTGGCAATTATTTTTCTTGGCGGTGATCATTATACAAATATTTCTATTAGATCTCCTGGAGCTTATCATCACGCCAGATGGATGGCAAAAGCCATTTATTGTTTAAAAATTTTTCTTTTTCGAGAGTCTTTCGAGCTAACAAATGACGAACGGGTTGGTGTTCGTGATGTTTGTATATTTTTAGTAAGAATTTATTTAAAATACTGGTTTTCTGCAAATAATTCTATTGAAGCTCCTCGTATGGACTTAGAATGCATGAAAAATCTTTATGAATACATAAAAATTGACGATGCCGTAGGTTTAATAGCACTTAAGAAATTTAGCAACCACTTATGGTATCTTGCGCCTGAAAATGCCTCAATGGCATTTTTTGATGATAAAATACCTGTCGAAATAAAAAGACTTATGGTAAAATCATTACAAACTAATGAATGTGAAAACTTAAAAAAAATTAATCCGCCAAGAAATATAAAACATTTTGTAAATAAAACTATTGAAAAGTTATTAATGCAAACTCAAAAATTTTTTTTAAACGTTTTGATATGAAAACTAGTTTTTTAAGCGAAGATCCCGAACGATGGAATTTAAATATAGATTATCTAGACTGTCAAGAAATAGTGCGAAGTTTAAAAGTTGTAAACGATACTGCAGAAAGATCAGTGAAATTAATTGAAGAGTATAACTCGATAATTACTAAAAAAGAAGACCAAAAGCAATACTTGCTTCAAGTTGTCGCAGATTATAGAAAACATTTTCCTGATGCAAAAAAAAACACATTAATGAAATAATGATGATTATTTAATAATAAATTTCTATAATATTTTTTTAGTTGTGTTTTTTTTATAATTAAAGTTTATTTTTATTATTTATTAGTTTTATATTATATGTTTTAATCAGTTGTATGTTATAAGACCAAGATTTAGAATTAGAAAATATTTTACTAAACAATATTTGTGCATAATTTTTACATCTAAATTTTATAATTTATATAGATTTTGTAAAAATTTGTCGATTATGCTAATAAAAACTGAATTACGCAAAAAATTAGAATCGGTAAAAATCAGTGTATTTATGTGTTTTATTGATTATTCAATTAAATATGCAATATAGAGTAAAAAATAATATAACATATTTTATAGGAAATACATTTTTAAACAAATTTTATTCAGTAAATTTTTTTGATTCAAGTAAAATTTAACAAGTTATACGTAAAAAACTAATTTTTACCCCAATTTATTAAATTTCAACCCTTCTGCGGCACGGGAAAAAATCATTGGACAATCACGAAACTTCACAAAATGTATTTTTTTAACCTATAGAACAATTCTAGGGGGCGTCCGGGCAAAAAAAAAAACTTTGAAAATTAAGAGCCACCCTAGTGTACAATATGCCGTAAACGGTACTATAATGTATCTAAGAAAAAAATAGACCCAAAGATGATATACTGAGAGCACACAAGGGTGCGACAACCGCACAAGTGATATTTCATTTTTACTACAAACAAGTACAAAAATAGGGGCTTATAAGCGTCATAGAGCTTATAGCTAAAACGAGTTAAGATGGTGGCGACAATCCAGAATTGACAGAACTGACAACAAATCGGTGTAGCACAACGATAGCATAAGTAGTCACAATATACAATTCCTCGACAGCACATTAGACCGATGAGTATCTAACTATATACAGGGTGATTTTTTTATCATAACCCACTTAATTACTTGCAGAATAATAATAATTTAAACATTTTTTTTTTTTTATTATCTTTAGTTACACATTATTCTTGAATTTTTAACTATGTAATACTTTTTAAGTTCATCCCTTATGCTTTGGAGGGGGGTCAACTTTGTTTTTTTAAATGGTAACACATATTTTTAATTTAATAAAATGTTTGAGTTTTTAATTTAATAGTAAATGGCATTTGAATTTTTAATATAACTTTATTAGCTTATTAGATATAAACATTTAAAGTTTCAAAATTTTTGAGTTAATATAAATGTATAATACACATGGGATTGTAAATACAGGTAGCTAATTGGATTTTTATGACATTGCTGTCTCAGTCACGGATTGTTTATTATCAATTATGATTATCAATAGATATACTTTCTGTATTGTCAGTTAGTGTTTTATAAACTCATAACAATGTGCCTTACTACAATTGATAATAACAATGCTGTGTACCTGCTAATATCGATGTTATAAAATCCAGACTGTGATAGCAATATCATAAAAAACCAATTAGCTACCTGTATTTGTACTCCCGTGTGATCATACCTATATGTTAACTCAAAAATTTGAAACTTTAAATGTTTATATCTAATAAACAAATAATGTTATGTTAATAATTCAAATGCTATTTACTATTAAATTAAAAATTCAAACATTTTATTAAATTAAAAATATGTGTTTCCATTTAAAAAAACAAAGTTGACGTCCTTACAAGGTATAAGAGATGAACTTAAAAGTATTACATAGTTAATAATTCAAGAATAATGTGTAACTAAAGATAATAATAAAAAAAATTTTTTTAATTATTATTACTCTGTAAGTAATTGAGTGGGTTATGATAAAAAAATCATTCTGTATCATTTTAATTTATCAATACTAGCAAATAATATTAAATTATATATATATATGTATATGTGTGTGTGTGTGTGTGTATTTTGTTATAATAACTATGTAAATAATTAATTATACTTACGGACATTTTTGTAACCAAGGGTACCGTTGTTACAGTATAGACAATTATAGGGCAATTGTAAGACATTAATCGCTCTATAAGCACAATTATTACCCGTCATGTGATTATTTATACAACCAATGTCTACTGTTACTGGTTCTTTTCCACAAGTGTAACATATATTATCAGTATCTGGTTCTAAAATTATCCATGTATCATTAATATATTCATAGAAAATAAATAGAGCCACATTCAGAAATTGTGAAGTTCAGAATACTAAATTCTGACGTCTTATGAAAAATATGAATGAAACTTTATTTATTCATTTTTTATCATCTCAAAAAAAAAAATATTCAAAGCATAAATTTAAAATTCTAACGTTTATATAAATGATTAATATTTACATCAGTGATATCCTCAACCTACCATTATGTTAACAGTGTTAAGTCATACTACATGTTGAAGCATTAATTATATGCTGTCACAAATGATTAGTTTTGGTTTCTCTTAAAAATGCCGAAAAAAATTAATATTAAATATTATTTTATTTTATTTAGTAAAATCATGTTGAGGATGTAGGAGATCATGTCAAGTGGAAGTTTAGGTTAAGGGTGGCCGACCCCAAGTAGTTGGGATTAAGTAACAAACTTTATTTGTTTATTAAATATAAACATTTAAAGTTTCAAATTTTTGAGTTAACATATAGGTATAATACGCAAGGGATTACAAATATAGGTAGCTAATTGATTTTTTATGAAATCGATATTAGCAGGTACACAGCATTGTTATTATCAATGATAGTAAGGTACATTGTTATGAGTTTATAAATACACTAATTGACAATACAAAAAGTATATCTATTGATAGTCATAATTGATAATAAACAATCCAAGACTGTGATAGCAATATCATAAAAAACCAATTAGCTACCTGTATTTGTATTCCCTTGTGTATTATAAATGTATATTAACTCAAAAATTTGAAACTTTAAATGTTTATATCTAATAAGCTAATAAAGTTATATTAAAAATTCAAATGCCATTTACTATTAAATTAAAAACTCAAACATTTTATTAAATTAAAAATATGTGTTACCATTTAAAAAAACAAAGTTGACCCCCCTCCAAAGCATAAGGGATGAACTTAAAAAGTATTACATAGTTAAAAATTCAAGAATAATGTGTAACTAAAGATAATAAAAAAAAAAAAATGTTTAAATTATTATTATTCTGCAAGTAATTAAGTGGGTTATGATAAAAAAATCACCCTGTATATATATAAAGGGAAATGGTCCGTTTTAACAAAAAAAAACCAGCACAGTGGAGTCGCGGCATAGTGGGGACGTTGCATAATTGGGTCCAGTATAGATTTATTATAGTATAGATTAAAATCACTATCATAAGAAACGCTTCGATGCAAATCAGTAGATAGTGTTTAATTCTAGGAAATTGGTGGATAATTACAAAAGCTGCATGATCTGCTAGTTCCTTATTAATACCCTGATTATGATAAAGAATGTCGAATGAAAAAGGGATTATTAAAAATTCAAATGCCATTTATTATTGAACTCAAACATTTTATTAAATTAAAAATATGTGTTACCATTTAAAAAAACAAAGTTGGCAACCTCACCAGGCATAAGGGATGAACTTAAAAGTATTACATAGTTAATAATTCAAGAATAATGTGTAACTAAAGATAATAATAAAAAAAAAATTTTAAATTATTATTATTCTGTAAGTAATTGAGGGGGATATGATAAAAAAATCACCCTGTATATATATAAAGGGAAATGGTCCGTTTTAACAAAAAAAAACCAGCACAGTGGAGTCGCGGCATAGTGGGGACGTTGCATAATTGGGTCCAGTATAGATTTATTATAGTATAGATTAAAATCACTATCATAAGAAACGCTTCGATGCAAATCAGTAGATAGTGTTTAATTCTAGGAAATTGGTGGATAATTACAAAAGCTGCATGATCTGCTAGTTCCTTATTAATACCCTGATTATGATAAAGAATGTCGAATGAAAAAGGGATTATTAAAAAGTATTATTTCTCATAAAAAAATTGCGTTGATTCATACATTTTTCAATGAGTTGTAGCATTATAAAGTTAAAAATGTAACCAACCCAACCCAACATCAACTCCTATTTCCATAATTATATCCAGATTAGTAATTCGTTTAATTATCTATTATATAATTTTTATAATTAATTATTTTCAAATTATTATCGATTTTTAATATATTAAAAGTAATCATTTTGAACCAACTTCTTTTTGTCCTTTAAAGTGAAAGTTTAAAAAAAAAAAATATGAATTTATTACCATAACTTTTAACTCAACTTGCAAGTTTGAAATAGATATCATTAAATAGAAAAAAATGAAATTGGTAGAGTATTTCAAAAACAACAATAACACTTATTCCCTTAATTTTACCCCGATTTATAATTATAATATATGAATACATAATAATTACAGTAATTAAATTGAGTATGAAAGTGGTATTCAATAATATAATATTGTAATTTTTACGGAGATATTATAAAAATAAAAAGGAGATGTATATTCATATACTTTTAATGCGTATACAAATTTAAAGGAATTGATGCAATACTTTTTAATAAAAAAATTTTGTTATTTATGAATAAATACACTAAACAAAAGGAACTTTCATCAGAAAAAAAAATATACTTTTCTAAATAAACTTTTCGCGATGTTTTCAAATGTGCAATTAAACTTTTTTTATTACTTCTAAGTTTTAATATTATTACTTATTATTAAAAAATAAGTATTTACATATAAAAAAAAATAATTAAGAACAAAAAAAATTGTATTAAATTAATACTGATTTTGATTTTTAATATGTTAAAGGTAATCATTTTGAACCTATTTTTTATTGTCTTTTAAAGTGAAAGTTTTAATGAAAAATACCTTCTCAGCTTCGCATCGAAGCTAAAAAATGAATTTGTTACCATAACTTATAGTTCAACTTGCAAGTTTGAAATTGACATTATTAAATTGAAAAAAATGAAATTTTTAAGATTAATATGCAATCTGGAAATTTTATAATTACTAATTACAGTACATTTGTCAGAAAAATTCGATTTTTTTACATTTTTATCGTAATAGATAACTGAAATAGAAAGAATAGTAATCATATCCTAATAACTTTTGGTGTTTAAAAAAATTCTGCAATTGAAATATTCAGAACTTAATTAATTTTAATAATTTACTTTAATTAAATGAACCAATCAAACCAAAGTAGTTAAAAAGATTTACTCAATTGAGCATATTATCAAAAATATAATTATAATTGTAAAACTCCATCGTTAACTTCAGGTGAAACTAAAAATCATTTTTTTTTTAAATTTATGATTTATATAGCAAAATATTACTAAAAAATTTGGCATATTATAGACTGGTAGTAGCACACAGAAATAGAGTTAAAAAATTAATAAATTATAAAGTAAAATTATTTACTTTTGTAGTTGAATACTTTTATCATATCAAATTTAATTCGACAATAAATAATTTAAGAATATTAAAAATTAATGATTTTAATTGTTTGTATGGACAAATCTAGTTAAGCTACTTTTTATTTGAATAAGGAATATTTTTTTGATTTTTAAGAGTAATAACTTAAACTAATCATTAACTTAAATATCATAAACTTAAATGAATCATTTGACGTATCGTTGAAAAAAGTAGGTCTAGTGAGGGTTGGCAAAATAAATCGTAGCCAGAAAAAGAACCACATAGTAAAATAATATTAACATGAATATCAATTTCTTCTCACGAGGGGAGACTATAGTGATAAGATCCTTTATATTTATTGAAATTATTGAATCTAAATGAGATAAATATCAAATGATTTGAAAATTCTATTTTAACTCAAAAAAAAAATGCAAAATTTTGGTAGTCACAGACGGATGTGAACCTCGTACCCTAGGCGTGAAAGATCAAGATGTTACCCATTCGGCGACTGTTCGTTGCTTTTTGTTGCATGATAAAATTGGCTATTTAAGCTAACTCAAATTTAAAAATTACTTTTTCGACTATAAAAAAGTAAAAAAATTTTAATAAGTATAATTTCATATGTCTTATGAACTTTATTCTATGTCAATGATATTATATAAACTTCATGAAAGTCAGTTTATTCCCCTAATAAAATATTTTAAAATAAAATA